TCAGTATTCTAGTATATTCTGTGTTACTAGAAACAGATAAGATTGGTCCTCTTTAATGGCTAGTAGGGCTCAGAGACAAATATTTAATTGGTACTGTGTTCTCAGTAACTACCAGATCCATCAATTCAAGCTGCATAAAACACAAGGCCTCAATTATATATCACAGTACGTGATGAGCTGGGTATTGGTGCAAACCAACTTCACCTAAGCCCGCCTAAAACTGTGACCAACACACCCCCTTCTGGCCCAGTCAGTGGCGACGGGCACATTCTCCACCCCGCAGCTATACATCACAAAGTGGTGAAGATTGCTGCCGTTGATCGGGCCGGGAGGGGGTTGTATTGGTCACAGTTTTGAGCAGCCTTGGGCAAACTCATGGGAAATGGGTCTACACCAAGCCCAAGCTCATCACAATATTTGCAAGCACTCTTACAATTTATGCTTCACTGCCAATTGAAATGTATGTATAGACAGAACTTTATTTTTCGTTTTGGATATAGTAGAGAAGGGATAAACCCGGTCAGTTTCTTTTTTTGCTGTCAGTTCCAGTTTCTGTCCCAAAGATGCAACAGGAAGAGGAAATCTCTACAAAGTAGGTGGAAATCCTCTCTTAGACAGCCATCACCAAAACAGGTGTCCCCATGGGAAGATTTACCCTCGCCTCTTCCAGTGACTACTGTAACATTTTGGATTTCTCATCACATTCTGTTTTGGCGATAGTGGTCACTAGGACATACAGAGAGAGTGATTCTCAATGGGGACACAGCAATGAAGCATTGACAGGAGTTCTAATCTTTCCCTACTAGTTTTGGCTTTACATAGACTAAGTTACATAGAGATCTACTCCCCAGTACAAAAAAAAAAACCACTTCAAATTGTAAGAAATTGCTCATATTTTGGGATGCTTCTTTGATCATTCTGTGTTTGTTCTCATCTCTTCCCAGTAAAGGGAAATGTTTTTCTTCTGCAGATGTGTTGCACAAGAACACATCCCAAGTCTACCAAATAAAAAAGGTAGCAGAGGGCATGTGACTATATGGAAGAATACAGGTGAAGAGATCTGCCCTTGTTCAGCCAATCTATACTAGAGATATTTCACAGCATCACTTCATCTCACCAGCAGGACGTCTGGCTCTTGTTTTTCAAGCTTCTCTTTTAGATGCCAGTTCTCTTCTCTTAAACTTTCCAGAGCTGTCAGTGAAACCTAGACATCAGAACAAGAAGAACTGTGAATCCAAACAGGACAAAGTGTGTGAATAATCCACACAATGTATGGAAGGTATCAAATATTAAGGGGTAATAAACAAGCAATGAGGGGAAAGCAGGTCACCAGGACAGAAAGACACTGATGGTAAAAAAAAACTAGGAGGTGCAACGAAATGAAAATTTCAAAACCAAAAAACTAAACTAAAATAAAATTAAAAAATGTCAGGCCAAAAGTGAAACTTTTTTATTTTAACTTTTTCACATTTTTAAATATTTTATTTTTTATTTATAAACTTTGTAATTTTTTTAAATTTTTATTAAATATTTTTATCATTTACTTTTAGGGGCTTTGGGGAGATAGTAGTGGTCTAAATAGAAAAAAGAGATTAAGAACACAGAGCCCTCAATCTCTTTTTCTGTATCCCCTGTTATCAATGAACAGGAATTCTCTATACTGAGTGTTCCTGATCATTCATAACATGAGGACATAGTATGGTTACTATAACCACAATCATGAATGTACAGGAGGTGATGTAGATCACTTCCCATTCATTCATAATTAAGGATGTAGTAATCATACCATGTCCTCAATTAGTTACACTGACTGCTTGTACCCGCTCTCTATCCTGACACGCTGTCACAGGGGGCTGAGCGAGATGAGCTCAGCCTCCTGTGACAGCGCGGGCCGTCTCCGCCCACACACACTACTCTACCGATATGTGATAGAAGGCTGAGCGGTGTGGGAGGAGAGATGCCGGCCGCTCACAGCGCTCTCTTCCAGCAGTGCTCTGCCGCCTGTCACAGTTTTTCTCCTCCCTGCTGGGACACAAAGCAGTGCCCAGCGGGGAGGAGAGAACAGGATGCACCGATGTATGAGCCAGAAAATGGCACTTCCGGCATTATGCCAAAAGTGCAATTTTCGGCCGATAACGTTTCGGCGGCCAATATATCGGTGCATCCCTATAAAAAAAACTTCACAGAAGTCCAACCTTTAAAAAAAAAAAAGTGTCCACATTACAGAGACTTCCCTTCATTTTGACCTTTCACCAGGACAGAAAATGAGGAAGAATTTCCAGCTGCGTCGGCAATAAAAACCAAAGACAAGTCCTAACCTCCCCCTACTCTATCCAAAACAAATGCTAGTAATTTCTACACTTTGATTTTAGTTGAATCTCCAACTGCAGGCTATTGTACCCAAACAGTCGGCACCCATGGCTGTCTGAATACCCGAAAAAAAAGTATCGTGGGTGACCTGCACTCCATACAGCGTCATGACCTTACAAGATGGTGGGGCTCGTAACGATGGCATGGATGGTGCCATGTGGAACTCCAAAGTGAAGATCAGATAATCCGCACCACACACGTAGTAGACTCTTTGATCGTTATTCATTTATTTTATTAGGTTGTTGTACCATTTTGTCATAAAACGCCAACTTTTCTGGGCCACGCAGGGTCCCTTTTTCAGGGTGACTATGCCTCCCTGAAGAATGGAACCCTGTGGGGCCTTGAAACTTTAGTGTTTTATGACAAAATCTGTCGACAGCCTAATACATTAATTGAATAAGGATCTAAGAGTCTACTACGTGTGTGCTGCGGGTTATCTGATCTTCACTTTGAATACCCAAACAGTCATTGCAGCTGATTGGCTACAGTCAATGCCCAGTCAACAATTTTCCACCAAGCTCCTTTGATTTTTCATTTGAAGCTTGTTGAGCTGGGTGATGCAGACAGGGCCAATCACATTTCGGGTGATTCCTGCTGCATTTGGCTAAATATGAGACATGTATGGAAACTTAAAAAAAAAAAAACTGGCTGGAATTGTGTATAAAAATAAACTGATTACAAACTTCCACACAATTCAAAGCATATAATAAGAATCACGAGTTACTTTTACTGACAACCAAACGATCCAGAAATGCATACAAATAGGCAATAAAAGAGATTTGTAAATCCCATGATGTTTCCACAGCTATCAGCCATTACCTTACGCTCTGCAGCTTCCCTGTCCGCTCTGTCCTTCTCCACCTGCACCCTCCTCTCCCAATCTTTGACTGTATTGCTGGAGGAGACGATGTCCCTCTGGTGCAGTTCTTGCGTCAGCTGAGAGATCTCCTTCTTCATCCCATCCAGAACACTGCTGTATGACAGTTCGGCCTGGGAGAGCTGACTCTTCAACTGTTACAGGAAACATTGGGGACTTCCATGTATTTATTTTGTTATTCATTTTTTTTCTTTAACGTTTATTAAGAAATGATTGATACAAACATTACTTGCACAAGTTAGTTATCATGGTGTGAACTACATTATTGGGCAGACACAGAAGAATATCCTAGAGTAACTTAACAGTTGACATTTTGTATAAAAGTGGTTACCAATAAATAAATGCTAAGTCGCAACTGAAGGAATGATAATATTAAAGTCTACCATGTCCGTTGCCCATGTGATAGGACTGGTTGTCTTAGCAGCCAATCACAAAGCACCAGCGCTGTCACATGGGAAGATGACAGGCAAGTCACATGCTCCCCATACCTGAAAGTACTTGGTATACTTCTTCACTCCTGATGGCTGCGGTGTGGTAGGGGAGCGAAGAGAAGGTAACTATTGTTAAAGGGGTCATAATTAAAGCTGAATTGCTGGCAGATTAATACACAAACTAATCATGTTCAGGTTTTTGCAATCCTCAGTGCAGTAGAGCTTATGTTGGCAAAGGGGGAAGCAGCAAAAGACAGCTAATCAGGTTTGCTGCACCGCAAGCTGATAGAAGAAGAAAGCAGGGTGATGAGTTCATCAACCCGTTGCTTTCCCTTTTGCTGTCACAGACTGGGAGAAAAGATAAGACCTTTAAAAAAAAAAAAAAATGTTATATATATATATATATTTTTTTTAAATAACCCCATGGCTTTGTGGGGTCTCACCAGGGTAGCAGATTTTGCCTTGTACACACATGCGATGACTCACCGGCCCAAGAGTGAGGAGGAGACTCAGCCCAAGTGATTCCGTCAGGTAACAAAGGGAAGGGGGAGGAGTCTGTCCATTACGTCACCGGACTCCTCCCTCCTTCACTTCGTTACCCATCACGGACAACTACATCACCCGACTCCTCCCCCCTTCCCTTCGTTAGCCGACAGAGCCACTCGGGGAAGGGGGGAGGAGTCCGGTGACGTCGATGTCCGTGACGTCACCGGATCTCCGACGGAAGACCCGGAAGCCGGCGGAGAGGTGAGTAACTTTGATCGATCAAAGAAATTAACGATTTATTGACGGCACACCAGAAAATATCACACAGTGGTTGAAAAACGCTGCTCTAGTCAATGTCTGACTCAATTATTTATCCTGCACCGTACTTACTATACTCCCTTGAAGATGTTTAGATGGGGTAGAAAGGAGACTGGGAACTGTCCTAGATGTAGGAGTGAGGAAGCTAATTTGATCCATATGCTTTGGAGATGCCCTAAACTGTTTAGATATTGGGAAGGTATAATTTATTTTATTAATCGAGTACTCAAAGTTAAGTTACCCCTGGAGCCCAGAGTCTGTCTCCTAAACTATGTTGAAGAAGAACAGATCCTGGGACCCATGGACATCATTATAAGACTGTTGTTCCTAGGAAGAAAAATGATTGCCTTTAAAGGGACATCCCCCATTTTAGCTTTAGTTGTATTTTAGTCATCTGAATTCTTTTAGTTTTAGTCTAGTTTTGTCAACTAAAATCTAATGGGTTTATTTAAAGTGTAATCCATTATTTAAGCAATTCTCTAGAATTTCCAAACTCATCATATACTGTAGTAAACCTCTATTAACCTGTTATTACTTATGGTATTCAGGTTTGAACATGCAGTACAGACACAGATTTAGCCATTGTGATATAGATGGTCTTTATCTATCACGTCCGAACGCGATACAAAACGGCCTACACCCAAAGAAGTACATGTACTTCTTTGGGGCGTTTTGGTCTCGCGTTTCCATTGGGATACAGCCAAGTAGCCCTCGGAAACGCACATATTCAATACGCCTAGGTGTGAACCCAGCCTTAAAGTTAAATAAAACAAGTTTTATACGATTTGGAAGTGGGGATGGAGAAGTAAATGGGTGTGAGGGAGGGAACAAGTCTGAGAAGGCTGTAACATAGTGCTAACTTGCTAGGAAGATGGGAGGAAAAACAGTAACCGATGGGAGGAGTATTCTCTGCGGTTTGCAGGGCGTTGATCCAGGCGGCAGGGAGGCCAATGGAGCCTGTTTCTCAGCCTATCCAGCTGCTGAAAGAGTCAGGGGACAAGGGCTTTGGCGGAGCTCCAAAAGAACCCGAAGTCCAAATAGGTAAATGCAACAGCCCCTCCCATTTTCGCCGTGTTTTTGTTAGTCGATGGACATTACAATGTATTTATTAAGTCCTATCAACTTAGTTTTTGTTTAGTTTTCATTTAGTTTTTGTGACTGAAAACATGCAGCCTACAAAAACATTATACATATGAAGGGAATTTATCAAAACTCAAGCAGACAAAATCTGGAGCAGTTGAACAGGGCAACCAGCTTCTCTCTTAAGTTTGTTCAGTTAAGATTTGGTTGCCGTGCACAGCTGCTAAAGATTTTGTCTGCTCCAGTTTTGATAAATTACCCTCACTGTACACACACACACACGCACGCACGCACGCACGCACGCACGCACGCACGCATCGGTATATCCAGTCATTTGCCTGCAGGTCAGCTTTGAAGTCAACATGTTGTTTTGACTTACATTGCACTTATACTGGAAGAACCAAGCGCAGCACCTACCTCTCCTACATGACCCCTTGCAGATTAATGTCTACTAATGAATAATAGGTTCACTCTACCAGAGTAAATACTATGCAGAGCTATCAGGGATTCTCTGTAACCCTGCAATGCTACACCTTTACTCCATTCTTTAGTAGAGATCTGAGGGAAGGTAGCTTATATTTCTCCCATCTTGGCATGATTACAGCACACATATAGAATGGCAATGAGGAATACATATGATACCAAAGTACAGAGAACCCTCACTCACCTTCTTAATTTCTGTCCAGCATTTCTTGTGCTCTTCTTCTAGCAGTTGCCTTGATTCAGCCTTCTCCTTAATCTCTTTAGCAAGCTTCTGGCATTGGAGTGTCACGGATTCAATATGGCTTTCTAGTCGGCTCACTTCATCCTGTAGCCTCTGCTCATTTAAATGGCTAATGGACAATTGAGAGCGCAGTACATCCACCTCCGTACGCCCATCGGAGAGCCGGGTTCCTTTCAATCTTTCTTCTAATGATCTGCAATCCAGTCATAAAAACCATGAAGGCATTCCATCTGCTTAACTGTTAAAAATACACGACGACTGTCCCGCACACCATAAAAAGATTATATAAAACAAGTGAACTTATTAAGAGGTGTGTCTACAGGTGCCCATACACCTGACGATTATCGTACAATAATTGCAGGTGATCCCGCGATCATATGATAATCGGCAAGTGTATGGGCAGCGTGCGACCGCATCTACTGTACGGTCGCACGACTTTGGTCTTCCTAGCACGTTGGAAAACCCGCAGAAAATTGTACGATTTTTGGCAGGTTGGTAGCATGCTCAGAAGACAAATGCCGCACAGGCCGGTGTGCGCAAGAGCACACTGCCCGCTCACCACTGCAATCATCGGGCGATCGCAAGTACAATCTGCCTGTCCAAGATGGGCAGGTCGTACGAAATTTTAATGACCTTACAACTATCGCACAACGAAAGTCGTGCGATGGTTGTAAGGTGTATGGACAGCTTTAGACTAAGCTGTAACTGATGAATTTACATACAGCTGCCATCTGCGGAATCTTGCCACTGGCAGCTGTCACTCCCTGGCTGAAGCTATTCAAGTGCCGTGTGCTTACAATACAATTAAAAAAAAAAAGTGGTCTTATGAAAAGATGTTTGCCATGAAAAATAACTCATATCCTATATTCCTTTCAGCTTGGAGAAAATGGATTGTACATCCATACTGCATTGTTTTATCTCAAATATTGCCTGACGCATAACTGGTCCATACCTTGTCTTCCCTCCTTCCTCCCCTCCTCTCTTTCCACTTGTTTTGTCATCCCCCCTTCCTCCTAACCTCCCTATAAATGGAAATGATATTGCAAAGCATACTGTATCCTGGATGTTAAGTTGGTTATGTTATATGCATTTTGTTATGTATGCTTCACTTGACTTCAATAAAGAACTATTGAAAGTAAAAAAAAAAAAAAGTGGGAAAAAAAATCATTTTGTTTCGGCCTGACAAATTCTGGTGCAGGAGATGCGTTACAGCGTGATCGCCCGCACTGGAACGCATGCAGTTTTGTTCTGAAGTAAACCTTGTTTGTAACACTGCATTTGTGTATTTCATTTTAATTTAAAGATGGTATCTAATTTTTTATCCGATTAATCGAAAAAATTAATCGGCCAACTAATCGGTTATGAAAATAATCATTAGTTGCAGCTCTACCTGAAACTATGTACTACATGTTTTCCTAAAATCCATGAAAAAAAAAAACAGGTCAACGGCAGAAGCGATTTCCAACAACCTTGACTCCCCATTCATATAAAAACTCACCTGATGCTGTTCTCCCTTTCTCTCAGTGTCTCGTTCACCCTGCAAACCTCTCTGTGTAGCTCTTCCTTCTGTGCTTTAGAGCCCTGCAGGAAGTCAGTCTGAGCTTGTATGGTCACCCGCAGCTCTGCTTTCTCCTCTTGGAGGACCTGTATTGAGGTTTGTAAATGATCAGAATGAAACGTTGAACTACAATAAAAGTGGCCTACTCAGCTATTCCCATTCTGAGGGAAGTCCATTAATTAAAAACGTTTCTTAAAATTTGTTTTGGAATAATAATGAATTTTACAAGTATTGTATTTTGTGGTTTTTCTCTAGATGTGTTGACAGTTTGGGGTGAGGACGAGCCTATGCTTGGCATCTATACCTGGTCGACAGGGGGAGTGTCCACTATACAGGACAAGAAGAACAGGAAGCTTTTACTTGGAACTTTTTACTACTTTTTTCTCATTTCACATCTATTTTCCGTGTGTCAGACAGAACAAGAAATGAGGAATAATCTCCCCTTTTGTTTATCTGATGGCCAGAGGAATTCCCCCCGCCTCCCTCTTTATATCAGGGGCACATGCAGCAATAAATACAAATTTTATGGCACACTCAGGAAGGTCCAAAACTTCTCTTGGGCTTTAACTGCTGTCAATGTCCCCACGAGGGAGATTCCCAGGACCTCCTTACTTCCTTTCCAGATGACAATGTCAGAGAAAACAAGAAGAGAAATGAAATCTCTTCAATGACTGCACAGGCAACATTTAAAATCTGACAAAGATCACACAAACCTTCTCAATTCTATCCAAAAATATGTAAAACTGTTCAACATTTAAAGGGTTTTCTCATTGCCCCCAAAAGAATCAATCTTGGTAATCACTAGCCATCCCGCATATCTGCATAATGTTCACAAGACTGTTGTCCTCCTTGTTATGAGCCAGATGAGCAATTCCCATTTGTCTCCACATTTCCAGTAGTTATAGGAAGAGAAGCCACAGAAATATAAATGGACACAGGAGAGTTGTGTGAGGAAGGTCTTTGGTTTAATATATTACTATCATAGCAGAGACCAGAGAAGCAGTGGCACAGGGGCCAAAACATGCTCACCTTTATGGTGTGCTGAGCCTGCTCCAGTTCCTTCTCTGCTCTCTCCTGCCCAGCACTTGAAGACTCTAGCTGCTGCTTCAGACTCTCTACTTCCCCTTCTTTGGCACAAAGGCTATCATTAGCACGTGACAGCTGACCACTGAGATGATGGACTTCTGATCGGCCAGCCAAGCTGGTTTGCTCCAGCATCTGCTTACGGCTTTGGGATTGCTGCTGCAGATTGAGATAGGGTAACAGTCAGGTACAAACAAATCAATTACTCTGAAATCCGGCAGGGTGAATCACAGGCACACTTTGCTAAAAGAAACCTGTACGGAGAGGAATACATACACAACCATAGCTGAACTGACATACATTACCTCAGACATCACTGGCTCCTTGCATTTACTCGGCAATGACTCAAAGTACTGATGCCATGGAAAGTCAGCCAGCTAGCATTTTATGAAGGAGGTCAACTACGGCAGTCTACATATTTCTTACTGTATAAGTTTCCTAAAATGAACTAATGAGGACATAAATATAGGAACTGTCATAGCTGACTTGTTGACCAGCATGAAAGACAGAAACTAGTACTTTCAGAAAGAGGTCAGCAGTCATGTCCCACACATTTCTCTCAATACAGGTCTCATGCACCTTTGTTGCAGTTACACTTAAATAGTAATCCCCTTAACCCTCTTCCAGTCTTATACTTTCCTGTCGCTGATCCAGTGAGACATCTCCTATAAGATCAAACAGTCACTTGTCAAAATTCCACTGCCTTGTGGGGAAAGAAAATCTAATAGTATGAAAGCTCTAAACCCCATCGCAAATAAAGAAGTCAATGGCGTCCCTGTGTGTACCTGGTATATTTCAGCCTGTTCTCCCAGTGTCCTGCGCTGAGCTTCCAATGCTGCCAGCTGCTGCTGATATAGAAGACGCTGCTTCTCCCAGTCCAGAGACCTCTGGCGGAATTCCTAGGAAGAGACAACAAATCCATTGCGAAACAACAGATAGAAACGTAGACAGAACAATTGCAAGCTCACTATAAATGCCGCAATCCCCCAAAAAGATGACAGACAATAGGAGAACCTTTGTTTCTTTTGCTTAAAATATTCCTGCCAATAACTAAGAAACTAGAACTATGTATACAAAACTTTTGTACTATGTAGAATGGTGTCCCACTATTCCTAGTCTGGTCTATGGGTTACAGCCAGTCCACCGAGTATAGCTGATTCAATTAATGCAATCTGTGCTTTGTTTGGTCCATGTACACAGAACAATGTAAAACAAACTGCATGCTGTCCTCTGTCCATGTACAAGAAACTACACACTATCCTTGGTTTGGTCCATGCACACAAAACAATGTACCGTAATTTGCAAAAAAAAGACCCAAAAGTAGGCCTGTGTATCAGCAGTAATATTAAGTAATATGTATACCAAGTATGTTCTAAACTGCCTTCTTATTTAAAGATGATCTTACAGTAGAATGTAAGGTCAGCTTATAATGTCAGGGTCACTTGCTGACAGCATGTCTAAGTGTACAAAGAGTTCAATCTTTACCATACCTTTGTCTTCTGCCCCCGATGCCTAGGTGATGGTGATACCATTCCCCTTCTGCCGAGATCCCAGGGAGCACAGAGCAGCCCAAATCTCATGAGACAATGCTCTTATACTGGACCGGAGTGTCTTCTTGCAAAATTTGGGCAGCTCTGCATTCCATAGGAATCTCCCGGAAAGGACATCACACGTCACAATGCGGAACATGGGGGTAAGGGAAGTATAAAATCTTTTTTCTTTAGGAGTACATTTTGGACATATTATCAGCAGGTGACATTTACAGGGGTCAGCGGGCTGGACATTAGAAGCAGAACTTGCATTGTATTGCAAGATCCATCTCAAGCTAGATGAGATGGGCCCTAGGGCAGAACTGATGAGCTGCCAGTTCAGGACTCTTAAATTCCACACTGTGTACTCGGACCAAACCAGCGATGTCACAAAAGCGGAAACTGTATAACGTTTTAATGCTTAATGGAACAGAATCAGATTTGATGGTTTCACTTTTTTTTCTTTGAAGTTTTCTCACCTCCAGCCTTCTTGTCAGCCGGCTGACCTCGGACTTCTCTTCTTCCGCTTTGCCTTTCACCTCCAACCTATGGTGTCGTCTCTGAACCTTCTCATATGACCTTTTCAGTTTATTAAGCTTTGGACAGAAGACAAAATTAAAGGGTTCCATGTTTAAATTAGGTCACTTTTAAGAAAACCTGGAACGGATCTATTTTTTAGTAAAAATAAATAAATCATATATTAAAAAAAGGGTCAGTAAATCTAAGCACCAGAGGTGCCAGACTATGAAAACCACTTGTCAAACAATCAGTAGATTCAAAGACACAGGAGATGGCTGTAACATGCAAAACTTAAAGTGACATTAAACCCTCAGATTTTTTAACATAAAACAATACTGTAATGTGCGCCTTACTGTAATCCATGGTAGTTTCCCTTCTCTTTGCTGCTCTTCCTTTTAAATCTGTATCTGTTCTCATGCTGGGCAGAACTTCTGTTTTGCAGCAGACTGCCTTGTCTCAGGAATGGATACATGGTGTCTGTGTATCCGTTTGTAACCTGAGCCAGCACTACAGGAAGAGGCCCTGAGCTGAAAAGGGAAGTTCTCCCCAAGCATGAGAAGACATGAGGATTTAAAAGGAAAATCTGAGCTTGGATTGGCCCCTCCCCCCATGGTCCCCTGTGTGATGGGAAACCTCACAGACCAATAGGAAGCCTCCCTATACCTAGAGTGCTTAGTGCAGAACTCTGGGCATAATTATTCTTAACCCTTGCAGTGGGTCTAGCCCTGCACTCCAAAGGTAAGTGTTCATTTCAGTATAGGGAGGGAGATACAAATATATTCACCTGAACCTCGGAGCCAGCTGACTGCTACCCCAGTCCCTGCCGCCTGTCCCCTGCAGCAATGGGATGTCATTCGGCATACTCATGTCCTATATACTGTATAGGACGCGATTACTCACAGGACCTTAGAACACTGAAGCGGATGGGGAGAGAAGTTGTAGGAACCATTCTATTAGACATATATATATAGAAATGTCACCAGCACACCAAATCCTTTTAGGATAACAAAATGTTCATTTATTTGCAGTTCCTTGTCAGAAAAACAATTCTAGCAGACAGCCGGCTCCAAGGTTCAGGTGAATATAGGTTTGTTGAGTGCCTCACTAGACTAAAATGAACAGTTAACCCTTGCGGTGCGGGGGTAGCCTCAATGCAAGGGTTAATACAAGTTTTGGCCAGAGTTCTTCTTTAAGGGAAGACGAGCTCTGAGAGTTGGATGTTCGGAAACATGATGACTGCAAGTGCTTGGGCAAAAATTTAAAGCAACGCTTTGCCGAGTAATGTATATTTGTTTTTTTCTGAATTAGTTATTAAAATAAAGCTTGAGTGTAATAATGCTTTCATGAATTCGCAGGTTTAGCATGAATAAGTTCTTTGGGAAATGGTAAAATGTAACAAGCCTCTTCCTGAAACTGTGTCAGTTGAGATTCGTAGGCTGCGGTCTTCTTGAGATTGCTCTCCTCCTGCTCTGCCAGCTGTTTTCTTACAGTCTTGATCTGCAGAATGAAAACAGGCGCATTCAATACCAACACAGGAAGAGGCCGAAAGCTGGTTACACACAGTCATGTGTTTCAGATGAAGACCATTTACCAGTCACTATGCAGTGTGATAGCTTATGTAACATATCAGAGACACAATTATTTAGGAAAACCTTTTCTATATAAAGCCTTTCCCATACGGGGGTGAATACGGCATCATGGCCACTAGATGGAGCTGAGGGTTATAGGAAACAAATCAACATCTTCTATGATTCTATGATCCTCAGCTCCATCCAGTGGCAATAATATGCATGAATTTCCATATCCATGCTTAACAGCGTGGAAAGACGATTCTCACCTCCAGGCTATTGTATTCTGCTGGCGCTTGCCGTTACCGGACTACCCAAACAGTGCCTGCATCTGACTGAATACAGACACTGGCTGATCATTTTCTGACTGGCTCCAAAATTTGAATGGAAATCCTAACTTTTTTTCTATCTAGGTGGTGCCAACCGCAGCTCGAATTTCAGATGATTCAGCAGGAAATTCCAGCTGTTGATAGCCAGCTTTAGTTACCATCATGGACAGGCTACTGCAAAAAAGGTCAAATAGAGCTCTACAGACAGTTCACCAAAATGAACTGGTGACTGGTCCTTGTTCACAGATCATTATTACCCTACCAAGTCATTATAGTGTATAAACAACAGAGACACTCAATGAAGCTAAAATTCCATTTTACATTTTAAGCAATATGTACCATCAGTTATAATAATCCGAGCTCGCTGTCAATGGAAGCCATTTCTTTTGTATTGTGCATTCTCAGTAAGCAGAGCTCTCAGCTCATTTTCACATTTCTCAGTTGACATTTACCTCCCATGGTACCATTGGTTACAGAGCTCAGTAAGCTCAGGCTAACATTTACCAATCCAAGTGAAAAAAACTCAGAGCTGTGATTTACACCCCTACCCTCCCCTCCCCACCCATCCTCCTCTTTGCATAGAGCAAAGACTCATCCACCTTACTAACTGTTCAGTGTCTGCCGCCCCTCTCTGCCAATCTCTCCACTGGCTTCCAACAAATACAATTCAAAATACTAACAACAACATACAAAGCCATCTACAACTCTGCCTCCAGCTATATCACCAACCTCATCTCAAAATATCACCCAAAGCTTCCTCTCCGCTCTTTTAATCCAGCTCTATCATCACCTCCTCCCATGCTTACCTCAAGGACTTCTCCACAGTGTCTTTCATCCTCTGGAACTCCCCACCCCAATCTGTCCTCTTATCCCCTACTCAGTGCACCCTTAGGCAATCCTTGAACAAACTTCTCTTCAGGGAAGCCTATCCCACCCAGACATAATAACTTCATGTTTACTCCTTCCATTAATTCATCCCACATAATGATCACCTTTTGTATCATGTCCCTCTTGATAGATTGTAAGCGCTCACAAGCAGGGCCCTCCTAACCCTCCTGTATTGAAATTGTATTGCAACTGTAATGTCTTCCTTATATTGGAAAATGCTGTGCAAACTGTTGGTACTATATAAATTGTGAACAACAACAATAGCAGAGCTTAGTCCAAGGTTTCACTTAGGCCTTGTTCACACCAAGCGCGGAGCAGATCCGGACCAGAGCAGGTGCAGACCGGATCAAAACTGCGTCCAATGTATTCCTATGGTATTTTGACCTCCAGTTCACATTGCAGCGTGCGGATCCAGACCGGATGAAAAAAATGCGGCAAGCCCTATTTTACCAGCTCTGGATCTGGTCTGGAACGCATCAAAAACGCATGCAAGTGCCTGAAAGCCCATGTTAAACTTAAAAAAAAAAAAACGGCCCTAAACGCATCTAAAACACGGCACAGCCCACTACCCACTACACTGCGTGTGCAGAAACCTGGCCGGATCTGGTCTGCATTTGGTGTGAACAAGGCCTTAAAGACAACATGTCTAAAAGAAGATGGCTCCTGCTGTCACAGCTCATCCTCTTTAGAAAACCTGAGGTGCTCTGAGAAACCTTTGTCCTGTATTAAACGTGTATTTGTAAAACGATGATTTTATGTATGTAATGAAAAAAACAAGTTTGCACATGGGCCAACCAGAGTTGTTTTACTAAGACATTGATCAGAATCTATGGAGATTTTAATTTAAAATGCAGAACCCATTTAGCAGTCAGAAATGGTAGGATTACCTCCTGGCTCAGTCGTTCTTCTCGAGCTCTAGAGGTATTTAATTCCTGCTCCCGGAGCTGTAAAAGTGTATTGAGGGTCTCATTATGGGCTTCCCACTCAGCCTTCTTATGCTCCAACATGATGTCAATCTGCCTCATGAGTTCTTGCAACTCCGCTTCACAGGAACTATAAAGTGCCCTGACACAAGGAAAGAAAAAAAATGATGTTAGTGTAGAAAAATGTGGACATGAACAACATAGCAAAAGATTGGAGCAATATTATCAGTGGAAGTAACCAACGCCAGTCCAACACATTGCTCATGAGAAAAGCCTTGTCCAGTCAATGCTGGAAGAAAAAAAAAAGAAAAAAAAAGGAGTAGCATTTGTCAGCCTCCATGTTACTACTGGACACACCATTTCTTATTAATATGGATCACTAAGAATGGTAAAAACCAAGAGTAAAGGCTTATTTAGTGTCTGCAGCTGGCATTGGCAACCTACAGCACACATGTTCAAGTGCGCACGCAATGGCTTTTTCACTGGCACCTGAAGCAACGCTGCCATAAGCTGTAATTAATAACTCACAAGGGTGTTGATTACAAAGCCTGGCCTGCCCATGGCTCACCCACCTTCCTGATGTTTCTGGCCACATAAGCCTGCCTGGGGCTGAGCATAAAGGTGTGTGGAAGAAGCCCACCTGCCTACAGGTGAAACTCGAATAATTAGAATATCCTGCAAAAGTAATTGCAGTAAGTGCTGCAAAAGGGGCCCAAACCAAGTACTGAGTACATATGCATGCTTGTACTTTTCAGAGGTCCGATATTGTTCTATGTACAATCCTTGTTTTATTGATTGCATGTAATAATCTACTTTTTTGAGGTTGTGGATTTGGGGTTCTTGGGGTTTTCATGAGCTGTAAGCCATAATCATCACAATTATGACAAATCACGGCTTGAACTATCTTGCTTTGCATGTAATGAGTCTATCGCATATATTAGTTTCACCTTTTAAGTTGCATTAGTGAAATAAATGAACTTTGACAGAGCTTAGTCCAAGGTTTCACTTAGGCCTTGTTCACACCAAGCGCGGAGCAGATCCGGACCAGAGCAGGTGCAGACCGGATCAAAACTGCGTCCAATGTATTCCTATGGTATTTTGACCTCCAGTTCACATTGCAGCGTGCGGATCCAGACCGGATGAAAAAAATGCGGCAAGCCCTATTTTACCAGCTCTGGATCTGGTCTGGAACGCATCAAAAACGCATGCAAGTGCCTGAAAGCCCATGTTAAACTTAAAAAAAAAAAAACGGCCCTAAACGCATCTAAAACACGGCACAGCCCACTACCCACTACACTGCGTGTGCAGAAACCTGGCCGGATCTGGTCTGCATTTGGTGTGAACAAGGCCTTAAAGACAACATGTCTAAAAGAAGATGGCTCCTGCTGTCACAGCTCATCCTCTTTAGAAAACCTGAGGTGCTCTGAGAAACCTTTGTCCTGTATTAAACGTGTATTTGTAAAACGATGATTTTATGTATGTAATGAAAAAAACAAGTTTGCACATGGGCCAACCAGAGTTGTTTTACTAAGACATTGATCAGAATCTATGGAGATTTTAATTTAAAATGCAGAACCCATTTAGCAGTCAGAAATGGTAGGATTACCTCCTGGCTCAGTCGTTCTTCTCGAGCTCTAGAGGTATTTAATTCCTGCTCCCGGAGCTGTAAAAGTGTATTGAGGGTCTCATTATGGGCTTCCCACTCAGCCTTCTTATGCTCCAACATGATGTCAATCTGCCTCATGAGTTCTTGCAACTCCGCTTCACAGGAACTATAAAGTGCCCTGACACAAGGAAAGAAAAAAAATGATGTTAGTGTAGAAAAATGTGGACATGAACAACATAGCAAAAGATTGGAGCAATATTATCAGTGGAAGTAACCAACGCCAGTCCAACACATTGCTCATGAGAAAAGCCTTGTCCAGTCAATGCTGGAAGAAAAAAAAAAGAAAAAAAAAGGAGTAGCATTTGTCAGCCTCCATGTTACTACTGGACACACCATTTCTTATTAATATGGATCACTAAGAATGGTAAAAACCAAGAGTAAAGGCTTATTTAGTGTCTGCAGCTGGCATTGGCAACCTACAGCACACATGTTCAAGTGCGCACGCAATGGCTTTTTCACTGGCACCTGAAGCAACGCTGCCATAAGCTGTAATTAATAACTCACAAGGGTGTTGATTACAAAGCCTGGCCTGCCCATGGCTCACCCACCTTCCTGATGTTTCTGGCCACATAAGCCTGCCTGGGGCTGAGCATAAAGGTGTGTGGAAGAAGCCCACCTGCCTACAGGTGAAACTCGAATAATTAGAATATCCTGCAAAAGTAATTGCAGTAAGTGCTGCAAAAGGGGCCCAAACCAAGTACTGAGTACATATGCATGCTTGTACTTTTCAGAGGTCCGATATTGTTCTATGTACAATCCTTGTTTTATTGATTGCATGTAATAATCTACTTTTTTGAGGTTGTGGATTTGGGGTTCTTGGGGTTTTCATGAGCTGTAAGCCATAATCATCACAATTATGACAAATCACGGCTTGAACTATCTTGCTTTGCATGTAATGAGTCTATCGCATATATTAGTTTCACCTTTTAAGTTGCATTAGTGAAATAAATGAACTTTGCACGATATTCTAATTATTCGAGTTTCACCTGTATACTCTTTTCCTATGCTTGGTGAAACTGCTGCAGCAGGTATATAAAACCCCTGCATTTCTAAAGGTGCAGGGTTTGGGGCTTATCTGAGGTTTAAAGGTGCTGGG